GGAGTGGGGGGGGCCACCGGCCGCGCCCCGCTGGCATGCCCTCCCCACCCCCGCCCCGGACACACACCAACCCGCATGCGGGGGGCGGGGGAGAGGCCTGGCTGGAGGAGAGCACGGCTGGAGGAGAGCACGGCTGGCCTGTGGAGAAAGAAGACCAAGCAGCACTGGAGATGCTGAGTGGACGCTGGGAGCCCTGGTGGGGCAAGAGCTGTGTCGGGGAGATGCAGTGACTGTGTCACTCCTTAACCCACGGAAGGAAGAGATGCCCGGAGTGCAGAAGGCCGCGTCACTTCGTCAGTTCACTCCAAGAACAGCCATGGGCGTGTCTTGCAAGATTTTCTCCCTAATGCTGAAGCAGAGGTTTTTATCGTAGAAGACCGTACCTCTACCCCTTGGGGCATTGATCATGAACAAGAGATACAATCAGACAGTAGCTGGGCACAGCCTGGGGACACTCACAGCAACAAGCAAGGCTCTGAGGGATGCCAGGAACAGAGAACGAAACAAAACGTGGACCACCTGTGGCAGGGACCTGGCCAGCAGGAAGTGGAGAAGCTTGTGCTCCGTGAAGGATGCCCGCTACTGCCCCTGTGGCTCTGGAGTGCCTGGGCAGGATGTCTGCCGGCTGAGAGGTGGCATTCCCCTGCAGTGGGCAGGCTGGACTGAAGCCCAGACTCTTCTTGGCCATAGGCAACCTTACCGACTCCCGTGGATGGGATGCTCTCCCCTAAAGGGACCAGACATCTGGGTTTTTAGAAGAACGGTCAGGCTTTCTTCACAAAGAAGAGTTTTTTAACCAAAGGTTAAAAACCAGAGGCAGTCCCAAAGCCCGTGATGAGGAGCAGGTGTTGGCACCGCAAGTCCTTGGCTTGTCTCAGCGGCAGGCCCTGTTGCGGGGGGGTGAGGTCGAGCTGGCAGTGAACTGGGCATTTCCTGCCAGTCGGGGGCTGGACCAGGGAAAGCCCCTGTGAGTGTCCACGAGTCTCTGTTATACCACTGCTGCTCCGCATTCCGCGTACACGTGCGTTTCTTTGACACTAGAACTTTCTCCGGAAGTGATGCTCAAGGCTGACAGGTAGTTTCTGCTGTAGGGTAGAGGCCAAAGAAGCAACGTGTTTTCCTTCTTCCTTTCCATTGTGTTCACCTTGTCTCTGAATGCTCATTAGGGCAGTTACTGTAGGAGTGAATGTGTATGCCAGTTTGTGGACAGTCGGTCCCTTGGGTGCCAAGCCTCTCTCCCTCTTTTCTTGCCAGAGAGGAGGCTCACTTTGACCTGAGGAAAGCAGGCAGTGACCAGAAATCAGGCATGACGGCCTGACACAGGTCAGAGAAGAACTGAGGCTGGTCCTGCTGGAGGCCCATCTGATGTGCTTCCTTAGGAGCGCGTGATTGGCCTCGAGGTCTGTTCGGGAGCCGATTGCTAGGGGCCTATCTGACAGCCTTCCCTTCTCTCCTCTTCTCATCCTGTGCAGAATCCACACTGGTGACAGACCGTACAAATGTGCACACCCCGGCTGTGAGAAGGCCTTCACACAACTCTCTAACCTGCAGGTAAGTGCCCACCGTCCACTTGAGACCCCGAATCTGAGACCGGGTCTGAAAGTGCCATTTGACATGTGTAGTGGTTCTCAGACTTTCCACTCTTAACAGATAATTGAGGAACCCAAAGATTTGCTCTTGTTTATGTGGATGGCATCTGTCTGACATAAATATGGTGAAACTCAGAAACTCGAAAAATATCTAATGTTTTATTTAAAAAGAACAATAACAGGGGCCAGCAAGTGGCATGGTGGTTAAGGTGGCTGGCTCCCACATTGCCAACTATGTGGTTTGATTCCCAGATCCTGCAGCTTGAAAATCATTCCAGTCACATGTGTATACATGCCCAAAATCCAGAGAGGAGAATAGAGAAGGGATTGTGGTGTGACCAGTCCCCGGGGAGGTAATTTCTCACTTTGCCTCTCTGTTTCCAGTGACGTATATGCCTTACAGCAAAACAAATAAATAACAACAACAACAACAACAACAGCAAAAAACGGGACTAGCATGTGGCATGGTAGTTAAAGCACTGGACTCCCACATGGCCGACTGTGTTCAAGTCCTAGGCCTCGCAGCTTGCTTTCTCACTTTGCCTTTCTCCCTCCCTGACTCTCTTTGGTCAAATTGAAAAAATAATAATAACAGCAAATAAAATTGAATAAGTATATGATTTTTTGTTTTTGTTTTTTAAGAGAGGTTTTTTGCTATAGGGCATGTGCACTTGCCAGAAAGAGAAATCACCCCCCGGGGGGATGGCCACACCACAGTCCCTTCTCTGTTCTCTTCTCGGGATCTTGGATACGCATGAACATCTACTTACTGGTGTGAGTTCAAGCCGCCAGGTCTGGGACTCAAGCCGTGGTCAAGTACATGAGAGTCCAGAGACATAACCATCTGCTGCCCCCAGTGTATGATTCTTTAAAAACAAAACGAACAAGGGGCCAGCAGGTAGCATGGTGGTTAAGGATGCAGGATTCCCACATGGCTGACTGTAGTTCGAGTCCTGGACCTGGTGGCTTACTTTCTCACTTTCCCTCTCTCTTTCTCTGTCCCTCTCTAGTGAAATTAAAATAAGTAGGTAAATAAGTAATGTTAAATAAGTTCTTTTTTTGTTGTTTGTTTGCTTGTTTGTCTTTTTGGAGAGGTTTTTGCCATAGGGTGTATGCGCTTGTCAGAGAGAGAAAGCGAGAAATCACCTCCTAGGGGGAAGGCCACACCACAACCCCTTCTCCTCTACTCTCCTCTCAGGATCTTGGACATGCACGCACATGCACCCAGCATGAATTTAAGCCATTGGGTCTGGGACTTGAACTGCAGTCGAATACATGGGAGTCCAGCAACATAGCCATTACGTTAACTGCTGGTCCCAAATAAATGAATTCTTCTTTTTTATAATTTTTTTGGGGAGGTTTTTGCTATAGGGCATGCCAGAAAGACAGAGACAGAGAGACAGAAAGCGAGAAATCACCCTCCAGGGGGGATGGCCACGCCCGTAATCCCTTTTCCTCCATTCTCCTCTTGGGATCTTGGGCATGCATGCACACGTGCCCGGCGTGAGTTTAAGCCACCAGGTCCGGGACTTGAACCTCAGTCAACTACATGGGAGTCCAGCGACATTGCCATTACGCTAACTGCTGGTCCCCCAAATAAATAATTCTTTTTAAAAAAAGAGCAAACAACAAAAACACTAATAAAGCCCCTGCATGTTCACGTGAATAACATGTTCAAAACCGTTTGAGGACAATTAGAAGAAGGGCATGGCATCACTTTACCTTTTTTTTTTTGGACAAGTTTTTTTTTTTTAACATTTTTAATTTTAATTATTTATTTAACTTTATTTATTCATTCATTCATTTTTATTTTGACCAGAGAGACACAGAGAGAGAGAGAAAGAAGGTGAGAAAGCAAGCCACCAGGTCCAGGATTTGAACCGTGGTCTGCCATGTGGGAGGCTCCAGCACCTTAACCACCATGCCACCTTATTGGCTAATGTTTTACGGGAAATGCTGTAAGAGGAGCATGCACATGTTGTTAGTGAATCAGAGAGAACCTTGAACTCTACCTCTGGGTGTAGGACCAGAGCCAATGGGAAGGAGGCTGTGAAGAGGAGGCTGCTCCAGGACTGAGTCTTTTTTTTTTTTTTTTTGAGAAGTTTTTCACTATTGGGCGCGTGCGCTCGCCAGACAGAGAGAGACATAGAGACAGAAAGCGAGAAATCACCCCCCAGAGGGGATGGCCATGCCGCAAT